AACCAGATTTGCCTCGAATTGGCGAACTCAAGAGGCTTGAGTTCAGATCACTTGACAACTTCCCGTTGGCCGTTTGAGAGTGATTATGATGATCTTCTGACAGAGAGGAAGGAGAGAGCGAAGAGGAGGCTGACAGCGAAGCCGAGGCAAGGGTAACACTGGTGAGGCCAGTAATACCAGCCGGCTGGTTCGCCGGCGAAGTAATATGTACGTGTTGGTGTGAAGGTGTGTGTGTGTGTACATGCGTGTGGTGGTGAGGCGCTCCAACCACGGGCTCCCCGCACACAGAGGAGTAGTAGTTCTGTTGCATCGTAAGCATGCCGGATAGTTACGAGGATAGCTTGGCCTGAAGTTTACAATGTGAAGAAATGCGAGGCATTTGCTGACGAGAAATAACAAGCAGAGTATGACATCTAAACCTTCACGTCAATTCACACGAGCCATTTTACCAAGCTCTTTCGACACCTCAACACCCAATTGTAATCGTTGTTCGTAGTCTAGGCACGCTGCCAAATTAGGGCCTCTCTGAACTAGTTCAGCTAGACCCGCGATTACAAGCCGCAAAATTGTCCCCGGGCCTCTGGGACGATGGCAAGAGTAGGCAATACACAGGATAGGGTCGGTATCAGCGGGGCAGACGAAAAAACGACACTGTATCCACGATTCAACGCTTGCGGAAACCCAGAGCTCGCCCAGTTTGCCACCGCGACTGTGTTGCACTGACAACGATGAAGCCCTGGCGCCGACGCAAGCGGAGGTAGACTCAGGCGTGCACAGGGGCACGGGGGCTGACACGTATTTAGACACACACTGAGGCTAAGGTATACGGGTAAATCAACAAAACCACACAAGCGCAAACTATGCCCACGATGGCAACGGCAAAATTAGTGAAAAATCCTAATCAAACTTGCGTACATTAGCACAACTGATACCGCTCCTCTGACTATTTCCGACAGGCTGATAATGAAGCCTAAAGTCGAGAGAATACGGCGGCCAGAGACATAGACAGGCCTGTTAGAAGGTCGGAAACCACAAAGCGAGCGTAGATAGACTACTGCTAATTGTTGATTGGCTAATTAAGGGAGAATCAGAAATGCTGAACACATTAGCTAAGCCATCATGAGCCAGGGGATTTAGGTACTCCTGTGTCTGTCACTTGCGGCGTAGGCCTAATCGGTAGGTCGACTGATGCGAGCACGCAAGCCAACCACTCCCACTATGGAGCGGCAGCGCCTGCATCTATTATTACAACAAGCGGCTATCTTCCGAATAGGTCCACCTCCGACGATATTCAGACAGTCATCTGTGATTGGCCAGACGGCACGACGACTTCCATTTGGGGCGACGATGAGTGTACCCGCAATGAGACAGAATGGTTGACTGCGTGGAGGAATTTGAGGCATTTCGAAATAAAATACCGGCGCAAACCGAGTCACATAATTCACTTCGACAAAAGCAAGTCGGCAAGGCTTCTACAGATAGAAACATTAATCAAGCTCAAGGTCTAATCAATTAGTCATCTTCGGTGGGTGAACGGACAAATTCACGCAACTACTGAGGCAATCAGGCACGCAGATGCGTCCAGAGTGAGAAGGAAATAGAGCTAAAAGATCGAAATAGAGAAGAGCAGATAGATCACAACGGACTAAATAACAAAATGGGCAACACGCATACTATAAGCGACATAACTTCCAAATGACCAGCTGTCACATGCGTAATCTTATAGCCAAATTCTCATCTAACCGTACACCTGTACATTAACCAGAAGACTTGTGAATAAAAAACTCATTATGCAAACAGGTAAGCACACAATGTACTGTTCGTAACGAAGGCTTGCTGGGAATCTACATCTAACTAGTAAATGACCATAGCAAACCACATTACTGACAAATTCTGGCCAAACAGCACATAAATAGACAAGCGTAAGCGAACCCCGGTTTAGGATATTGCTTTTCGCGAATACTAAACCTTTCAAAAAACCTTGTGATTGCCTGTTCTACTGCAGTGGCTTTTTTACAATTGTTTCAGCCTTGTTTTAGTGACTCTTGGGAAGTGTGGGCTGAAAGTGTTGACATTTCCCCCCTTTGTTTACACTCGTCTCGCCATGCTTGGCACAAAGATTTAAACCCATTAAAAGGTTGATGAGTAAAAGTTGCTTTCCGAAGTAATTATGCGATTACAAAAGGTGAACTCACTTCCACCTCGAGTGAAAGTGTTTATAATGAAATGACACTTAGATCAACTTCATCAAAAGTTGAAAACATTTCTTTTCTCCTTGAAATTCACTTCTGCCCTGTGACCCAGGGGTACTTATGGCAGGATGGCATAGTGGAAATATGTCGAGACTATACTCTGTACTACCGGGTTTCGATTCCAGTTTATGGTCCTAATGAGACACAATCGAGGTCGAAACTGCAGCCTAACCAAGCCTGGATAAGAATACCTTTTGGGAGGCAAGTCTAAATTATATAGAGGTTGTTTGACCTTGTTTTCGCAACATGGTTATATTGGTAGGAAGACTAATTGGAACGCACCTAGTCCGGGGTCCATTGTCTGCATGAT